CGTATAACAATATATACTAAGTCAATATGACATAGTGGACAGAATCTATGACTGACAAAACATTTCTTTATGATTCAACAGAGAGTAAAGTGTTGCATTGGTTAGCACTGTCACCTCAGACCTCTAAGACCAAGGTTCCATGTGTGTGGAGATGGCATGTTCTCCCTGTGTCCTTATGGGGTTTCTTCTAGGTATTCTGTTCCCCCCCCCCACAGTCCAAAAACCTGCTGGAGCTGATTGGAGTTACCTAATTGCCCATAGCTGTGCATGTGTGTGTGACTGGTGTATGAGTTTGCTCTGTGACTGGTTGGTGCCCCATGCTGGGTTGTTCCCTGCCTTCCGTTTGAAGTCTCTGAGACCCCCTGCAAACCTGAATAGGCAGTTTTAGAAGATGGATGGATGGAAGTTTCTAGCTGCTGCTGATGCAGTGGAAACTGACAGTAATAATCTCCTGCATCTTCCGCCTGGACTCCACTGATGGTCAGAGTGAAATCAGTACTGGATCCACTGCCAGTGAATCGAGGCGGAATCCCAGAGTTACAGGTACTTGCATAACTGATCAGGAGTTTAGGAGCTTCTCCAGGCTTCTGTTGGGGTCGGGCTATTTTAGTCAAATCTCCCCCAGCAACATGCACTGGAGTGCAGCAGGAATTATTACTTGATTTTATACATACATACTTACAGTATATGTAAATGTAGTAGATTCTGTAACAGATACTATAAGGTGGGGGGGGGAGGAATCTGAGATGGGACAAAGTCACAGTGATGACTGGTATAAATCTGATATTTAAATCTGATACCATCTGCTCCTACGAAGACTGTCAGTCTCAAACCCAGTGCAGGTTCAGCCCTGTAGCCCTGATTTCTGTCCTTTCCATTTCATCACCCTTAAATAAAAACCTAAAATGCTGTGATGAATTAGGCTGTTAACTTTCATACTTTTGCCACATTGTGATTACAAAGTATTTGGCCATTACAGTTTTATAGCTAGATGTACTCATGATGCACTCTGTCAGCATCTAGCTCCATGATTCTCTGAAGCAGAAAAGGCAAGAGCCTTAGAGAACACTCTCAACAGATGTGGAGTAGTCAATACTGTATGGTGTAATAATGCACTGTTATACCGTATCTACTGTATACGTTATACGGGTTTGTGTCACACTAGTTGTTCTTTTGCTCCCTCTAGTGGTAGCATGTGGCATGTGTATAGTGATTTTGAGGTGTTGATCCCTGCTTTTATTTCCTCGCGCCTGGACTGCGCTGTCTTATCTGCAGCTGGTGCAAAATGCTGCCGCACGCCTACTAACCAAATCCAAAAAATCACGCCACGTCACTCCGATTTTACCATCGTTATACTGGTTGCCACTGAAACTTACAATTAAGTACAATTTAACAAACAACTGTTTGTTTTTAAAGTGCTGAATGGGGGAGCACCAACCTATATCAGTGACCTCATACATCCATACTGTCCACCGAGAGCCCTGAGGTCATGTGATCAGCAGCTGCTCTCCGTACCAACCAGCCGTTTGAGGAGGAAAGCCGACCCTCGGTCCTTATTAGCCAAATTTCCACAGTCGGTGTGCTGGGAAACTGGTGTCTTGTTCATAGGTTTGCCGTGAGCATGCTGGTTTTGTGTTTCAACCCCACTTCCTGTTTCCTGGGTCCTGCTTCCTGTTCCTGCTTTTCCAATCCTCTGCACTGGAGTCTGCCTTTTGTGCACCTCATCCTGGAGCCGCCCAACCAATCAGCAGCCCCTAGTCCCGCTGGTTACCTGTCTAAGGTCTCAGTGGCCAGAGGGCAGAAAACCTGCCTTTGTGGATGAATGATCCAGTTTGGGCAGCTCTCTTTCAGATGATGCTTGTGAAAGCCAACAAATATGNTACAATTTAACAAACAACTGTTTGTTTTTAAAGTGCTGAATGGGGGAGCACCCACCTATATCAGTGACCTCATACATCCATACTGTCCACCGAGAGCCCTGAGGTCATGTGATCAGCTGCTGCTCTCCGTACCAACCAGCTGTTTGAGGAGGAAAGTTGACCCTCGGTCCTGATTAGCCAAATTTCCACAGTCGGTGTGCTGGGAAACTGGTGTCTTGTTCATAGGTTTGCCGTGAGCATGCTGGTTTTGTGTTTCAGCCCCACTTCCTGTTTCCTGGGTCCTGCTTCCTGTTCCTGCTTCTCCAGTCCCCTGCACATGAGTCTGCCTTTTGTGCACCTCATCCTGGAGCCGCCCAACCAATCAGCAGCTCCTATTCCCGCTGGTTACCTGTTTAAGGTCTCATTGGCCAGAGGGCAGAAAACCTGCCTTTGTGGATGAATGATCCAGTTTGGGCAGCTCACTTTCAGATGATGCTTGTCAAAGCCAACAAATATGCTTTTAACTGAATAAGTTCCAGTCGTAACATTAAGTGCTCATAGTGACATCTTATTGAAATATTGAATATCAAACAAACGCTTAATATCCACAAATTGTATAACATACACTTTATTTATTTCATAGCACTACAAGTAAGACCCTTGTGTGCTTGGAGATCCCTTCCTGCACACCACTGATGCGCTGAGCTGTTATTTGTGCGCCTGTGGTTCTCCTGTTAGCTCTGAGGAATCTGGCTGTTCTCCTCTGACCGCTGTCATTAACAAGGTGTTTTCTGCAGCAGACCTGCCACTGCCTGGATGTTTTATTTATCACACCATTGTCTGTAGACACTGTAGTACGTGAGAATCTCAGGAAGGTGCCTGTTTCTATGATGTTGGAACCACAGCAGTTGGCACAAGCCATGATACGACATTTAAAATCATGTCATACTCGTTCTGATGCTTAAAAATTAGAATCATGTCTTAGCAGATGTAATGCTGAACCACACAGTGACTGAACATCTTGACCCTGACTGCATACTGTATATACACTATATTGCAAGCACCTAGGCATGCAGACTGCTTCTACAAACGTTTGCAAAATAATGGGTCGCACTCAGGTGCTCAGTGAATTCAAGCGTGATACCGTGATAGGATGTCACCACTGCAATAAGTCCGTTCGTGAAATTTCCTGGCAACTAAATATTCCACTGTCAATTGTTAGTGTTTTTATAACAAAGTGGAAGCAACTGGGGAAAACAGCAACTCAGCCACGTAGTGGTAGGCCACGTAAAATCACAGTGAGTACAAAGCTTGCTGAGGTGCACAGTGTGCAGAAGTCGCCAACTGTCCACAGAATCAATAGCTACAGACCTCCAAACTTAGTGTGTCCTTCAGATTAGCTCGAGAGCAGTGCGTAGAGAACTTCCTGGAATGGGTTCCCATGGCCGAGCAGCTGCATCCAAGCCTTAGGTCACCAACTGCAATGCAAAGCGTTAGATACAGTGGAGTAAAGTACACCGCCACTGGACTCTAGAGCAGAGGAGACGTGTTCTCTGGAGTGACGAATCACGCTTCTCTGTCTTGCAGTCTGATGGACAAGTCTGGCAGTATCCAGGAGAACGGTATTTGCCTGACTGCACTGTGCCAAGTGTAAAGTTTGTGGGGGGGGGATTATGCTGAGGGGTTGTTTTTCAGGGGTTGGGCTTGGTGCCTTAGTTCCAGTTGATCAAGGCCAGAGATAATGCTTTCCTATGTAACTTCCTTCAATGGCCAGTAGAGGGACACATTGCTGCCGTGAATGTTGCACTGAGATCAGGAGGAACGTTTTTTTTGTTTCCCTGTCTGCTGTAG